CATTTTTTTTCTTGCAGCTCATTCTGAATTGCCATGAAATAGCTGTGAAAAGAGATATATAAGTAAGTAAAATATCCTAAGAACGAGAAAAAAAAAAGCTTTCCAAGGATCAACTGTGGTAACAACATTTGCAATGCTATTCACTAAATGGAGAAAAACTTGCTTTTGCAAAGAAGTGAAATTTTGCCTCCTGTTACAAAGCTGACCACCATGCCGTATCACGGCTTCCAACCTTTTTAAGATGCAGCAATACTATTTTTTTTTTAATGTTTACTTATTTTTGAGAGACAGAGAGACAGAGCATGAGTGGGGGGGGGCGCAGAGAGAGGGAGACACAGACTCTGAAGCAGGCTCCAGGCTCTGAGCTGTCAGCACAGAGCCCGACGCGGGGCTCGAACTCATGAACCGTGAGATCATGACCTGAGCCGAAGTCAGACACCTAACAGACTGAGCCGCCCAGGCGCCCCTGTAATACTATTGTAAAGTTTTTATTTTTTGATGGGCCTGCCCCACACCAAAAAGGAAGTCAAGAGACAGGATGATCACTCTGGATGGTGACTCCTTGTAAAGCACGATCTAGCACATCTTAGATAATCCATTCACAGGCTTCTCTGTTCATTGAAATCCAATGCCAGGTCAAAAACCCTGATAAGTGACTAGAAGAGGGAAAGGATGACGGGATTGACATTTTTTCGGCTAACTGCAAAGGCTTGTCTACATTTTCTGGGATAAAAGATCTTTTGCTTGTCAACAAAGTTATATCAAAGACACTTAAATAGAATATAGTTAGTAAATGCCATATGGGCACACTTGAAGCACAATCCTAGCAAATGTGCAATCGAAGGTAACTGGGCAAGGCGTTTTCATGCTTAAAGCCTCAGCTTTAACATTTCTTAAAAAAAAAAAAAAAAAAAAAAAAAAGGAGCGTGTTCTAAGAAGCGACAGCAGTGTCTGCCTCCAGCACAGGAGGAGGCCCTGGGAGCCTGGATCAAACCCACTTAACCCCACGCGATCCTGGGTGAGCGATTTAACCTCTCTAGACATCAGTTCCAGATCTGTAAAATGGGCTGGCAGTAACCACGTCTCAGGATCGCCAGCAGGATTGAATGAGATAAAAATATGTAAAGCAATATCCCAGTGAGTGGCCACATACGCTGAGGGTTCAGCATAGGCTAGGGCTAATGGTTATCGGAAGTATTATTATCCCAGCCTATAAAATGATGCAACTGATACTAACCCATTGTTATGAAATCAAATAAGATAATAAACACGGATGCCAATAAAAGCAATAAAAGATGTACAATGTGTGGGGTGGGGGGCACAGTTATAATTGTGACGAGGAAGCACGTCATCTAACCACACATCCTGCTCGGCTACCTCTGACAGTATGAGTCACTCCCACTATAACAAATGATTTTTAAATGCAATAAAACCTGTTGAGACTTCATCCAATGACAACTGTCAACGCAGTGGAAAAATCTGACAACAGGTTTGGCCCTCCTGACCGCAGCTACCTTCCAAAGGATTTGGGGCAAGATCAGATGTTTAAAGCTAGGAGGCTCCAAGCTCCGCCCCTAGGTAATTAACTTCACTTCCTCCAGGCTCCCTGAGACCCGGCCCCTGATTTAGGATATCCCTAGGCGGGAGAGGCCCCCTCGGTGGAAGCTCATTATCCAGGAGCACCTCACTGTGCTCCACCCTTCCCTCCCTCCCAACCCCCCCTCCC